TATATATATTCTTATTCTTTTACAGTTTTTACTATATGAATCCCAATTTTATACAAACTAAAAGTATAACATAAGTCTAATTACCTTTTAATTTTGCTTTTACTTTATGCAATTTGAATTTATTATTAATAGAAAATCTAATTAAATCTATTAAAAACTTACGATTTTAATTTACACAATCTAATTTGTATACAACACATGATATGATATAATGAAAATATATATTAACAGCGATGTTTTGATGGATTGTTATTGTATTTGTCAAAATTGAAGCATTTGATTAAAGCTTTTGAAAGTTATATTGTTACCTTTTGTAAATTAAAGATAATTTTTTTTTTTACTAATTGAAGATCAAATTAACAAAAAATGTATGATAAAATAAAAAGTAATTAAGGCTATCATTTAATTTTAATCTCTTAAGGAAATTTTTATGTGCAGAGATCATATTAAAAATGTGCTCCATAAATAAAATCAAACAAGAAAAACTTTAAATATAAGATAAAATGTATGAGAGCTATTTAATAAATTTGTATGCATCGAGATTAAATTAAGAATTCATTACATGCATAAAAATGAAAATAAGATTAAATACGAAAAAGTGGTACAAATTAAATAAAACTGACAAAAAAATATATGGAGATAATAGATCATTTGTAGTGGAATTTTAAAAATAAAATAAAATAATAGGTAGTATTTATATAATATTTGTTAAAAAATGTTGTAGAAAAGTTGACAAAACACAAACAAATTTTCCTGAGACGTGTAGATTTATTATTCTTAAAAATTTATTTGCGGTGCATTAAGTAAGTTCCTCAGGATACTTTCGAGAATATTTTAGAGAATGAGAAGATGGAGAAATAATCTTGAAAAAATCGAATAAAAGAAATCGATCGTTGCATCTCTTAATAAAAGAAATTGAACGTTGTTTCATAAAATTTTAATATTGACAATTAATAAAATATTAATGTTGCCAATTAAAATATTAAGGTTGTAATCCAACATTCTTTTGCAATCAATATTTTACAACAATCCCTCACTTATTGCAAAAAAAAGTTGAAATAAAAGTTTTTTGGCTCAAATAGTTCAAACATTAAAAGAAAGATAAGGATAAGAAACTTTTATCTTAGGTCTCATAGGATGTAATGCTTTAGAGCTAGTATAGGAAGTTATATGAACCAGTCTTAGATTGAGATACTTAATACACAATGTAGTTGATATAGCAAGTTATATGAACCAAAGACACTTGACGTGTGTTAGAGGTTTATCAATCACAATACACCCCCACAATCCTTGCTGTTATCGCTGTGTTGTGCTTACTAGGCCATGCACGTGCCCGGTATTCATGAGTGCTCTAGAGATCATGCCAAAATCTCATGCAAGCGGCCCCACTCGACATTCATATAGGTGATTTCATCAAGTGTATGTTGCAAACCATACACCACCCATAAGGGATATGAAAATCATTAAAACTTTGTTTAAACTAAAATTCTTTCATCACATAGAATTTTAATGACAAAGTTTAGCCTCTCAATAATGCAGTCTTTAGCACTTTCACACACACACACATCATAGGAAGGGAAATAGTTGATTAAAATCAATTTAGTGCTATCAGAACTAACAAGTGACTTGTTTTTACCCATATGAACCTTATTTATGAGATCTCCAATCATAAAGGTTGGGTTACCATCACTTGTTTGTTTGCAAGTGGCTTAAGTCTCATTCCCCTCGATGTTTCTAATATCATTTGTCTTCCTAGAGGTTTTGTCAGAGGATCTGCTAGATATTGTTTTGACTTCACATAATCAATGAAAATAGTTCTACTCTTTAGTAGTTGTTTCACCAAATTGTATCTAAATTATATATGTCAATTTTTCCATTGTAATTGGGGTTGGTTTCATTCCTAGCCAAATGTTCACTAAGAAGTTTTTCAACCACTCAGCTTTATTACCAGCCATCTCAAGAGCAACAAAATCAGATTTCATTGTTGATCTTGCAATAATTGATTGCCTGACTGATCTTCATGTAATTGCACCACCCCTAAGTGTGAATACATAAACACTAGTGGATTTTGTCTCATCTGAATCAAAGATCCAGTTAGCACCATTGTACCCTTCTAGTATAGCGGGAAATCCACTATATTCAATGGCATAATCCATTGAACCTCTTAAGTATCTCATAAGCCTGGAAAGTGCATCCCAATGTTCTTGATTTGGACATTGAGTGTACCTACTCAGTCTACCTCCTACATCAGCAATATCTAGGCATACTGAGGCTGAGATATAGATTCTCCTCTATTCATTAATTTAGAATTTGCATCATATAAGGGGTACTCACTAGTTTTAGATCATAAAACCCAAACTTCTTAAGAAGTTTCTCAATGTATCGTTCTTGAGATAGTAATATACTATCTCCCTTCCTTATGATTCTAATACCTAAAATCACATTGGCTTCACCCATGTCTTTCATTTCAAAATTTGATCCTAGAAACCTTAGTTTTTAGAGACTATCTGATTGCATAGCATGTCGTTCATATATAAATATATAATGACATATTCTCTACTTCTATATTTAGAGTAATATCATTTCGTGAAAAGCCAAACTTATTTCTTCAAGTAATTAAGTAAAATTACCTACACCCCCACACCGCAATTTTAAAATATTTAAGAATGGTAAACGAGTAAATACCTGATTGTACTTCTTTCATTTGTAGGTAAAGTATACAAAAAATTACTCAAGTACATCATCTTCTTATTTCTTTTTCTTTCTCTGGAGAGAAAATTTTCTCCACTTTTTTTCAAACATTACAAAGGCATGACACATGAAAATTAGGGTTCATCATCCTAACTCCAACAAACTTTAAGTTGTCGCCTCGTCTCCCTCTTCTTCATCTCATTCGCGGTCCCTACAAATGCGATCAGAAGCCATTGTTGCTGCGAGCATCTTGCTAGCCTCTGAAAGTTTTGTCTATAGAAGATCTCGACTTTTAACACATTCGAAAGAGTATAAATTAAACCAAGAAACTTCCCACAACTTTTCTGAGGATCTCAGAACTAGAAAGGATCTTTAAAAGATTATAAATTAAACCAAGATTTTCTTAGAAGAAAAGAGAATAAGAAAATGAGAAAATGAGAGAAATAATTTTGATGTGCCTGGAATGAGAAAAGTTGTTCTATTTATAGAACATGTAAAGAACCTTGCCCCAAAAATAATAAAAAGAAATTGAACGTTGTTTCATAAAATTTTAACGTTGGCAATTAGTAAAATATTAAAATAGTAACGTTGTAACCGAATGTTCTTTTGCAATCAATATTTTACAACAAAAAGTAGGGGTATATTATGTAATCTCTTAAAAAAAAATATTATTATTTATATTTATATATTTTGAATTAACACACTTAAGGTGAGTAAAACATGGACAATTCAACCTCTATTTATAGACAACATAACAAGTTGGTACTTGCTCTGGTTAGGTTCTATAGCCCTCTAAACTAGAGATTCATTAATTATTATATGCTGAATGTGGGACATAGTGCTTCCGAAAATCTCTCTCCTCCTATGCATATTTACATGTCCATTTGTGATCCTATATATAATAAAAATCCTAAATCCCAAATATTCAGGTTAATCAGAAACAGATTAACCACAATTACAAATGTACACTAACCAGTGTTGGTTTCAGGTTCATGAGAAGTAGATCAACCATAAATACAAATGTACACTAACCAGTGTTTTTTAACACATAGTAATCAACCATAGAGTTAGATGCTCTGAATCAATAATATACTTTCTCTATTGATTAATATTTATTGAAAATTACAAAATCTCAACATAAAAAATGTGATTCACAAAATTTTGTGATTTATGATAAACTTTAAATACCAAAGAATATGTACAAAAGAATGTAGTAAGAGTCTTTTGTTAGCAGTTTTTGTAATATTAAGTATTTTTATTAATTTTTTACTTTGAATGCTTCAACTAATATTGTGGAAATGCTGAGAAGAATTTTAAAATAGAAAAAGGAAATAGTGCCTAGTATGAGTAAATTTGAGATTTGATACTCACACAATTATGAAAGCGCACTTCAACTATATTTGTAACTTTTATGAAGCTTGTCAAATAAATAATAATAATTGTATTTCTTGCCAGGAGGACATGCCGACAATATTTCATCACTTGATTTATACAAATGGTTCCTTTTGTAGTTTTGTCCTCAGTACTATGTTGCAGTATTATCTTTTTGTAGTTGATAAATTTCCATGGAATTAAGAAAACTGACAACTGGGAAAATGCATGTTTTAGTGCTTGTTCTTCTTACCTCAAACTGTTGTCATATCCCCTTTTTCATAATTAGATCATTCTACATTATATGCATGCATAGTGCACTAAACAAGCAAAAGCATAAAGCATTGGTGTTACTTCAGTTATCAGGGAAGCAAGTTGGGATTATTGGATTGGGAAGCATTGGCATGGAAGTGGCGAAAAGGCTCGAGTCTTTTGGTTGCATAATCTCATACAACTCTAAGCATAAAAAAACTACAGTGTCATATCCTTTCTATTCCAGTGTTGTTGAGCTTGCAACTACTTGCGACGTTCTTGTGCTCTGTTGTGAGCTAAATGAGCAAACCAAACACATAATTAACAGGGAAGTCATTCTGGCGTTAGGAAAAGGAGGATTTATTGTGAATATTGGAAGAGGGGGTCTTATTGATGAAAAGGAATTGGTAAAGTGTTTGATGGAAGGTGAAATTGGAGGTGCTGGTTTGGATGTGTTTGAGAACGAGCCTCGTGTTCCCCAAGAGCTCTTTGAAATGAATAATGTGGTTTTGTCTCCACATGCTGCTGTTCTTACTGCGGAATCTTTCATGAATATGTGTGAACTTGCTGGAGGGAATTTAGAAGCGTTTTTCTCGAATAAGCCCCTAATCACTCCAGTTATGTTGCCTGAATAACTTGTTCTTTTGACAGCACAATATCGTGCTACAGAACTCTATTTGGGTAAGTTTTTGAAGTCCATTTTTATAGCACAGAGTACATGCTTTTCTTAATTATTTTAGTATTTTCTTTAGATTCTTCTCCTACATATTTAGTAAAAGTAGGATTCTTCAAGATGCATGAAAAAACTACTGTTCTAGCTTATGTTGTTTCTCTCAAGATCGTATACACAGTGTTTCGTTTTAATATTGTACATTTATCTTGTAGATTTCTTTGTTTTCAAATAAGTATAATGTTTTGCAAAGAAGAAATCTATGCAGATATATAAACTAGTCAATGTTAAAGATCCTGACCTTGTTGCTCCTAAACACATGCGTATGTTTGTGGTAGAAAAGAAAGTTATTCTTAAGCTTCTCCGTATAAACATCCATGTTAGATATGCTCTTAAAATTAGGCCTTTCACATATTTCTACTACATTTTGTTTAAAATATTACATGATATCCAACACCTGTTAATTACAAATATAATTGTTGTTGTTCTTGCAGACTAAATGAATTCTTCTTCCATTATGTTTGTGTTCCTGTGATGATTTTCTCTCTCTTAAGCTTAAGTAAACTCATTATGGATAAGTAATAAATACTATCAAAGGTCTTTTTACGTGTAAAATTCATCCTATTTATAATGGATCCTTGTGTATGGGTTTGGATTAGCTAGCATGATTTGTTTTCCATAATGAATGATTATTGTTTAACTTGTTAATTAAGGATAAGATTTAAAGTAAGCGTCTTTGTTATCGTTCCAAGTTTCCGATGTATCCGAGTATATCTCTTAAAATATCTCTGTTTATATTTCGTGATTCTCTCATAATTTGTTCGAGATCATCTCAACTATACAAGACAATATATCCAAGATCGTTTTGATTGTACGGTACAATAATGCATTCCAACTGGTCGATACTCAAAATGTTGCATTAAGATCACAAATGTATCATTTGAAAAGAAAATAATGGAAATCGGATCCCCTGAGTCTTACCATAAAATGAGGGTGCAAGGAAATAGAAGCAATTATAAGTTGAATTGTGTCACAATGGCTGAAAGATAAGTAGTACTGTAATCTTATGAAAATACTATTTGCATACTTGGGTATAACTGCAGAGGATAATTTTAGAAAGAAGGAATTATGGCAGAGTATGATTATAGATGAGGAAGAGGTTAGCTATGTGGAAAGGGAGGTACATATATTTTGCTGAGAGGGTCACTTTAATCAAATAGGTAATATCTACTATTCTTTTATATTACTTATCAATCTTTAAAATACCACTGAGTGAGTGGAAAAGGATTAGGAGATTATAGAGGGAATTCTTATGGGGATGGGGTCTGAAGGTAGGAAAAACTACATAGGTTAAGTGGAAAACATACGTAAAATTAAGGAAAGAGGACGGATTAGAAGTTAAGGACCCAAAATTGTTTAATATGACTTTGGAAAATGGAAGTGGAAACTTAGAAAGGATGAGTCTGGTTTATAAAAAGAGATAGTTGAGTAAAAGGCTACATTTAGAATATTTGAGGAAGTAGAATATTTGGAATCATAGAAACAGTGTTCCATTTAGAATATCAAGTGTAGATGATTATGAAGTTTTTGTTCTAACACAAGTCAAAGCATGGGTTGGGATCACATATAAGTGTATGTGTACAATCGAATGTGTTCAATCTTTACGCTTTTAGACATGGAAGTTCTTGAGTTAAGATATAAGTTCAATAATGTTTACTCATTTTTCTGTATTGTCCTTACACATCCTCAGATTTGCTGTAGGTATTGCCACCTACGTTACATCAGCAGATAACTATTGATATTTGTTTAGGTTGGTGTATGTTTTTTTAATTTAGACCGACTACCAATAATACCTTGTCGCTTATATGGGATTTTTGTCATGAAAAGTAGGGTGAATGACATGTATACATGCACGTAGTCTATGTTTAGCCTTTAAAGGGTAGAAGTTAGCATTGGAGAGTGGGGAATAGGATTGAAGAGTATCTAGGAAAAGAGGATATTATATGGTTGTGTGATTCTTGACTGACTTTCTTTTAGTTGGAAAACAAGGCCACGATGAAACCACGAGGGCTTCAGCAATAAAAGTAAAAGAAGTGAGAGGAGATTAAACTTGGAAGGTAACGACATGAGGTAGTTAAAGGGCAGAGAGAGAGAGAGAGAGTCTTTAATGTGAAATAATATACCGAATATTGTTGGAAGAGAAAGTAGTGTTCCGGAATGAGTATGAAATAGATATTATGAACTAGTAGTTTTCAGTTAACTGCAGAAACTATACTGAAAATATCACGAGTTCAGTTTTTTTAACTTTGAAATAGATAATAGTATAATCAGTTTTTGATTAAAATAGATTAGTTTCTTTTAGTATAAAATAATACATTTAACTATAATTTAGTATGGTTAAGTTATTTTTGTCCAGCGTGAGAGACAAAGATAGAAATAGTTTTATCTGGAAACAACTTTAACCTTTTAGAACTAAGGATATAAGAGATTTTTTAATGAAAGTCAATCACGAAAGAGATATCTTGAGAAATCCTCTACTCAATTATTATTTTCTTTTTATTTTTGAAAAATGTCTTTTCTCTCCAATACTAAGTTCTTTTCTTATTAGAGATTTACAAATTTTGTATTAATAGGATTTTGTAGGGAAGATGTATTTTTTTTTAAGTTTGTTTTTGACATTTTTCTTATATATGATCATTAGGACAACTCAATTATCTAATTTAATCATATTTGTTTTTTCTTATAAAAGAAAAAAACTATTAGTATCTATGATACATTCATGAAATATTAGGTACAAGATACAATTTGTTCCATTAAATATCATACATTGGTATTAAATAATAAAATGTTATAAAATTATTTAATTGATAGTTATATTCAAATTATACGTGTTACTTTATGAAATTAAAGATACTAAATTTACTTCTGCTATTAATAAAAATACTTTTTATTAATAATGAGTGGTACAAATATTTGTATAACAAAAAATAATTTACTTTGATATATTAAGTGAATAATTAATAATAATTATTCGTATCACCTAATTTTTATAAAAATTATCATTATTAATAATTATTTTTAATCAAAATTACGCCTTTTAATTACAATTAATATTTTAAACTATTAAATTAAAGTTTATATTTAATAATTTATATACAAATATATTATAGTTACTAATAATAATTATTAATATCAATGATGCACTAGTGTAGTAAAGGAAAACGAAAACGGTTATTTTCGCCTATAGACAGTGGTTCTGTAACCGAGGTATATACAGGCGAGACAAAAAGGGTAGGTCTTTTGTCTCAGTTGTGAACTGAGGCAAAAGAGTGTAGGCTTTTGTCTCGGTTGTGAACCGAGGCAAAAAGGTGTAGGTTTTTGCCTCGGTTCCTACTGAACCGAGGAAGTATGTCGGACTCTACTGCCTCAATTGGGACCTGAACCAAGGCAGTAGAGTGTTTTTTATTTTACTGTTTTACGTTCGGTTTCGCTAGCTTTCATGTCTCTCGCGAGACCGATCAGGTGTGACCTGCGTCCATCGTCTAGGTTGCTTCGAATGTGGAAACCACCACAGCCAGACCCAACTGCAAAAGAAAATACACGAGCAAGACCATGAGATCAAAAACCCAACTCGAAACGAAAACCCTAAATCCTTAAATAGCAAAATTAGATAATAAGAACAGAAATTCCCAAAACCAGAGAACAATTAAAACCCTAATTTCAAATCTCAAGATGCGCCTAAGCTTTCGAAGTCGCCTTCCTTCTTGCATAAATGAACCAACACCGAGAAGCGAAGTAGACTTTTCCCTCATGTGAAACATGAACTAGAGTTGGAGAAGAGGAAAAAGAGGTTCGCACCTCCCTCACTACTAGGCGAAACGAAGCGAGAAGAAAAGAAAAAGATGAAGATGGGTGCTTCCCCCTTCTTGTGAAGCTGCGACAGATGAGTGAAGAAGAGAACAAAACATTGCGCGAAGAGAACCCCAAGGGCGAGAGAGAGTAGCGGCGTAAAACCTAAACGAAGGCATTTTGTTTAAAAGTGCCTTTTTTCGCGAAATTTAAACCTAAACGCATGTTATTACCTCGGTCCGTGGGCAAACTGAAGCATAAAGATTCTACGACATCGGCTAAGAGGGAACCGAAGTAATATAGTTTACCAAAATGGATTTTAGAACGTTCGGTTTCAGAGGATGTGTGTGTATTTGTGGCAGGACAGAATGAATTAGAACGTTTGGTTCAGAGGATCTCTGGTTCAGAGGATCTCTGGTTCTGGCAGGAGATACTGTCTCGGTTTTGAGTAGCAACCGAGACAATATACATGTTCGGCATCGGTTCTCAGTGAACCGAGGCATATAATGTCGCCATAACTACGAAAATGCACCACATTTTTATACGCTTCGGTTTTTTCGAAACTGAAACGTATATAGCGCATTAAAAAACTCGTTTTTACTAGTGATGATTAAATTTTTAAAATTTATTAACAAAATAATTTGAAAAGTTTTGAGCTGAAATCATATATGTTGAGTTTTATACCTCAATTAACTCTCAATGTTACTATCCATTTTTCTTCCTCTTTCGTTTCTTCAAAGCAAGTTGGATAATTTGTCATGAACATGAATAGATTTGTTGAATTCTTCCTCAAATAAATCTTTGCCATTTACATAATTTTCCATCCATTTTCAATTTAAAACTTAAGATAATAACTTG